TATGATTTGTGGTGAGCCACATGGTGGCATTGTGTTGAAATCCCATTGTATGTAGGCCCTAGAGCAAGAGGCCTACCCATGGTGCAATAAGAATTATGAACTAAGAACTGGGCCAAATTATAATGAATGGACTACCCAATAAGGTATACGAGCATGATATGTGTTTGGGTTAATGGCACAACAATTAAGGTGATGTTAAGTAGGTGAGGCTAAAAGGCCATGTTTGTTTATGGACATGATATATGCATGAATGTCCATGTATTTGTGTGTGATTTGAGAATGTGTGTAGGGTTGTTAAGCCATGATCAATTGGATTGAATATAATGAATACTTATGTGAGGTTAAAGGCATAAGGGCTTGTAAATTGATTATGTTCCATCAAATGATGCCTTAGAGATTTGAAAGCACTTAGAATTATATCGAGCTTAAAGATGACTGAAGCTCGTTGAATTTAAAATGTGGTTTGATGTGGAGATATGGAATGTCACAAGCACAATGGCCTAATTTATAGATATGTGTTTCGTCTAAGGGATGAATTTCGGACATTGATTTGATTTGAGGTTGAGTTGAGTCTAACCTTTATGACTATATGTGTGCTTGCAGGGATGGTGGTAAATAGGGACGGTGGTGTTAGTCCTGCCTATAGTGCTTTGATGCCACCCGTTGAGATTTCTTCTAGTGATGTTGTCCATTGGGAGATTGGTCCAGACGATGATTTGATTATCCACTCGTTACTTCGGAAAGTGCATGATTTGATACTCCGTCCATTGCTTTAGCACACGCATGATTTGACTCTTTGCCGATTACTTTCACACATGTGTGATTCAATGTTCTATCAGTGGCTTAGCCTTGAGCGTGATTTGTTCTCTGCAACTAGGCACCATGTGTGATTTAATGATGTCCATGGCAATACCACTCATTTGATTTTGTTTGACTATGATGACATGCATCAGTATGGCATGATCTGACTTGAAATATGAACATGTGCTGACTAACTCTTAATGATATTTGATGAAAAGCTTTAAGATAAGCAAATTATATGTAAATGAGATTTGAGGTTGTGCTAAGCAATTGAGGAGTGCTTATGGGGCTTAGTTTGAATATAACAGCTTTAAGAATAAGCCTTGAATTAATATGATTTGATGTGAGGATATAGAACTTGGGAATTGTGGATATGATATGTTGTTGAGATGCAATCTAGCAAGGCTTAATATGATGAATTGTGCATGTAGCATATTAGGATGATCTTCGCACCTTCAACTTGGAGATGTTTGAATATGAATGTCTTATGGCTAGATAGGCCTAAATATAATTTATATGTGAAATATTATGCTATGATAATATCCTTTTACTGAGTATTAGATGACTCACCCCTCTGTTGTACCATAAGCAGATAAGTGAAGCTACGGGATTATGTGGCTAGTGTTGTCATTTGGATGGACACATATTTGGCATTTAGTTAGTCTTCATCCTAATACGTCATTTTGCTGAGTCTGTATAGGCTTTTCACCTTTGGATTTGGTTTAGTTTGTAAAGTATGCCATGCACGATGTTCCATTTGTATTTGTATAAAGGATGTACGATACGGACTCACTATGACTGGCTATGTTTAGCTTTATGAGAAACATATAAAATATTATATACAAATTACAGGCCGAGGGCCATGTTTATGTATTTGAATTTAATTATTACATGAATATGTGGAATTGGTAATCATTGGAAATGTGAATATGTTTAGAAATTTTGAGGCTTGCTTAAGTCTCATGGGTTTAACTTGCTAGACTCATGCGCCGATCATGAACCCCTTGGTTTGAGTCGTGATAAAAAGACATAACCTTTTCAAGATATACATGATAAATTCAACACTGTTATTTTGGAACTAAATTCGTTTGTTGATGCTTTAGAAGATAAAAGATGGCTTCAAGAAATGGAGGAAAAGATGGAAATGATTAACAAGGATAACTTACATTTTTATGAAGAGACCTACAAATCAAAAAGTTATTGGGGTTAAATGGGTTTTTAGGACAAAACTCAATGTTGATGGCTTTTACACAACCCTAAAGCTCGTATAATAGCTAAGTGGTTTGCTAAGACCTATGAAGTCAACCATCTCGAGACATTTGTGCCAGTAGCACACCTTGATACCATTTAACTACTCTAGCTACTAAAAAAAAGCTAGAATATAAGACAAATGGACATAAAATCAACTATCCTGAATGTCTTGATAACCGGGGACATATTCATAGAGCAACCTAAAGGTTTTATGGTTAAAGGCAACGAAGAGAAAGTTTGTAAATTTTTTAAGGCTTTATATGGGCTTAAACAAGCCCCAAGGGCTCAGTACGAGAGAATCAATGATTATCTATGCAGTAGGGGGTTTAGAAAGAGTCTCAATTAGCTGACTCTGTATGTCATGAAAACAAGAGGTGTTGTCAGCTTGATAGTTTCAATATATTTTGATGATTTGTTAATAAGAGGTCATGACAACACATTGTTGAAAGAATTCAAGCATCAGATGAAAGAAGAGTTTGAAATGACTGATCTTGGTTTGATGACCTTTTCCTTAGGTTTGGAGTTTATTCAAAGACCAAGGTACATTTATATTCACCAAACTAGTACTCAAGAAAGTTGCTTAAACATTCCAAAATGGAGTCTTGCAAGATAGTAGAGACTTTTATGGTAACAGGCATCAATCTACTGAAGGATGATGAAAGTCCAAAAACTGATAGCTCGAGTTATAAAAATGTGGTTGGATGTTTATTGTACTTGGCTACAACAAGACTAGAAATTATGTATGACGCAAGTGTTCTGTCGAGGTTCATGTAAATGCCATGTGAGTTTCATCTAATTACTACCAAACGGATACTTAGATATATCAAAAGTACCATTGGATATGGACTTATGTTCTACAAAAAGAAAAACAATGAGCTACATGAATTTTGTAACAGTGATTGAATTGGCAATTTGGAGGACTCTCAAAGTACAAAAGGTTTTTCTATCTCTCTTGAAAGTGGCATATTCACATGGTGTTGCAAGAAACAAGATGTGGTTGCACAATCATCTAAAGCTGAGCACATAGCTGCTACCATGGCTACTAGTCATGCCATATAGCTGAGGAAGACGCTCAGTGATCTTGGGTTTGAGCAAGACAAAGGGACTAAACTCTAGATTGATAATCAATCGGCAATTGCAATAGCTAAAAACCTCGTTCATGATGGCCAAATGAAACATATAAGGGTAAAGTATCATGCTATAAGAGATGTCCTTAAGGAAGGTGATATTTCAGTTGAATACTGCTCTTCAAAGGACCAATTGGTAGATATTTTCACTAAGAGTCTAAGCAAAGATCAATTTATGATGCTGAGAAAGAAACTGTGAGTGATTAACCTCAATCTCAAAGAGGTATGCTGAAGTTGAGGTCAAGCTGTTGTGGTTATAGAGTTGGTGGCAGATCTACCTTCATAATCAAGTCGAGGTTGAAGACAAGCTGAGCACATGAAGGACACGTGAAGTTTAACTACAGCTGACTAATTCTTTTACAATTTGCTGTAAAACAAATTTGCTGTGAACTTGGTAATGAGTTGTCAACAGATATTACACTGTTCCTTCTCAATAATATAAGCAGAGACACTAAAAAAAAACTTAAAGTAGGAAGATAAGGACTGATTTTGAGAGTAGACAATTACAGAAGTCCCTTTCTAACACGCCATTATCATTAGGTAGAGAGCCAGTGTTGAGTGAAAAGGACCACCACCAAAAATCCATGTGGGAGTCGAACACATCCCTAACATTCCAACACAAAATTCTAAATAATTCAAGGCTAGCACCTTTCTAACTCTTCCACATTGTCTTTTACTATTTTCTAGAAATCAAACGAGAGTTAATTCCCATGTTATTTAAAAACCCCTTTGTTTGTTTATGTGAAGAGTGAAAACAGGCTTGATCTCCCGATCCTAACAATGTCAGTTAAAAGATTTTATCCAACTTAAGTGACACTTTTTTCTTCTATTAAATGCTAACTTGTAGTACATGTCTAACCCTCTTCCTAGTAACATTAGGTGAAGATTAAACCTTTTCCTATACGAAGACCAGTCACCAAAACCATTTGATGTGCGGCCAATACACAGAAAGTTAGGAACACAGTTTCGTCCCATTCAATGACTAGTTTCTTTTCTTTGCTTCATGTTCGTTAGGTGATGGCCATTTTTTAATGGTTTTTTAATTAATTTTTTCTCACGAAAAAGATTGAATTGCGTTTGCCATTGGGCTATTGGCGGTGTACGAATATTTCGAACAAATTTGTCTTACCCCTCAATGAAAAAGAATACCACAACTCTAGTTTACACACCATACTTTGGGTTAAATCAATTATCCCCAAAAAAATAATTGAGTTAAAACAAATGAAAAACATTGAATTCTGATAAATGACGTATTGACATACAACAAATAAGACGGCTTCAACCCATCCTTTTCTTGCTTCTTATCTATTCTATGTCAACCATAACTTCATTTAGGCCACCCATTTTAGAACGGCACACTACCTTAATTGATGACTATATTGATTTCTACACTTGATTTGGATGGTCAAGTTTTTTTTTTTTTATAATTGAAAGATAGGAATTTGAATTTTATTTTTTAAGTTGGAGAATAATATACTAATTAATCAGTGAAATATTCAAATACATTTAAATGGTCAAGTTTAATTAATATAACTTTAAAATAATTTGATGGATGAAATAATTTTCAAAAATAAAACCAAAAATTAAAAAAAAATACATCCGAGATTGAAGATGTACATAGACCCATTTATAAAAAAAAAATATTGATATATTAAGGTTGAAAATATTCCCTGTCCTTAAGAAAAATAAATTTTAAAGATCCAATAATGAAAAAGAAATGAGAGGAAGAGTAAAAGACAAGTAAGCAATATTTGAGAAAGAAAAGAGACAAGTCATTTCTAAATGAAACCGACAGCACAACCGCCACTAATTGCTCAATTAGCAGCTATTAAAAAATAATTATTATTAATCACACAATTTTTTAGAAAATTAAAATCTCTACAACTTGTTCACATATATTAATTGCAAATTTTGCTATCTGTCTCTCTTATCATTTTTTATTCCTCCATTTATTCTATAGCAAAATGTACAATTTCCTCCCCTTATAAAAAAATACTAACGGCGTCAAATTACAAAAAAAAAAGCGAGAAAGAGAAAGAAATTAAGATAAAAGATAAACAAACGATATACTTAACGGCGTTAGTTTCTTCTGCTTCTTCTTCCTCTTCCGCTTCCTCGGTCTTCACACACTAACGCTGCATCTGGTCACGAACTGAAACTTGATAGCGTTTTCTCCGACAATAACCCCGCTAGTTTTGCTCCCAAAAGTAACATACGCCGGACATCTAACGTAAAGATGATATCTCCCTGAAATGAAAGTTCCAACTTTCCATCTCACCCGTCCATCAATCTTGATAGTCAGGAAAACAGACCCAGCAGCCTGGTCGGAATTCAAAGCCAAGAAAAGGTCGGGAGCAATAGGGACCATGTTTCCGTAGACGAAAGGCGACCAGACATTGACCTCGTTGTGACCTTGGTAAGTTGGAGGGATTGCTGTTCGGAGGGTGATTTGTTGGTTCCTGTAAGAGGCATAGATGTCGAGCCTGTCGTAGTAAATCCCTATTTTGTCATTCGGGTTTCGAGAAGATACGGTGACTTGGAAATTGGAAGTGAGGAAATTCGGGGTCGAGGCGTTGAAAGCGAAGACGGTGATGTCCTGGAGGATGAACTTGGGCTTGCTGGGGCGAAGGATAGCCCAAATGAGAAGGATTGTGATGAGCACAATCAGGTTGAAGATGAGAATGCAGGCGATAATCCTCCGGAAGAGTTTCCGGCGGCTTTTGCCATGGTTGCCACAATCCTTGGCCGACATGGCAGGTAGAAGAGCGAGTGAAAAATGAAGTTCGCGAAAGAGTTAGGGGAAAAAAAGGATTGGGTGGTTTGATTTTAATGCGTGAAAATGGGATTTTAGGAAGGAAAGAGGAAAAAGAGAATAGTCTCTTTACTTTGGTTGTTGTAATGAAATGAACGGGTGTTGGGTGCTTGTCTTTATATAAAAGGTAATGGCTGATTCTGATTAGTAATACGAGTATCATTTGTTTCTGGTTTTTGTGCGTAGTGGAAGAGAAATGATTGTATCTATACTGTAGCACTATTGTAGTGTACTTAAGCAAGTGCTACCAAGAAGTGTTAATTTCTTCTTATAAAGAAACAACGGGGTAAATTTAAGATATCTGCTCCAACAATATTTTTATTTCTTTTTATCAATTTGTTTCATGATAAAGTAATAACTAATCTCAAATATTTAGAATAATTACACTGAAATTTTGCCAGGAAAAGTAGTTAACGGCACGAGCAATGTGAAGTCGATTTCGTTAAACGTGGCATAGGAAAAATATAATTATAAAGACGTGTGGATGGTGATATAAACCTTGTATGTGCAAAACCATGTTATTTTACTTGAACAACCTTGCCAAACTACTAAGCAAGAGGCCAATTACATTTACCTACTTTTGTGTGATGGAGAAAAGTGATTGAATTGATTTTCATTAGATGGGCAATTTCGTGATACTATGGCCTTTCCAAAAAAAAAAAGATACATCTCATATGATTGGTCTCCATACTTTGTCTTATCCTTGATAGTATTTCACTTTCTATTTTCTTTGCCATTTCAATTTGCCAGGCGCATTTTTCATGCTTATAACTAAATTTTCTTACTCTCTTTTTTTTTTTATTTTCATTAATGTTGAAATATCAAGCCAATTAAAGAGCAATTAGCTAAATATATTTATGTATAACAATTTACTCAAATGAATAATCAAATATTTTGGGTCTGATGAAAAGGAAAAAGTTGCTGCAATGACTTAGTAATAAATTCTACGAAGACTTGATAACCCTTGGTTGTGTAGCGCCAAGTCAAGAAAGGAGAGCTCACCTTTCGTTAATCAAACTTAGAAAGCCAAAAAGGCAAGAGAAAAGATTAAACAAAACCAATAATAAAGAAAAGTTTATGTCACTCGGGATTTCCATATGTTGAGAAAAGATTAATGCCTTTAATGCATTATTGAGCTCGCCTTTATATCAACAATCATTAATCAAACGAGTTACAGGTAAAATAATAGCAGGTGCTTTGATCACCGTTGGATGTGATAAATTTGGACTGGGTAGGGAAAATCCGAGCGACACGTTTCCATTGGATTCCTGGACCCACTAATCATGACAGGGAAGCTTCCAGCTGGTCTACCGACTTTATCTCGGGGGGTTCCAGAATATACCCTCTCTCTCTCTCTCCCTACCACCCAAAGGCTGAAAGCCTAACGTGATGGGAAGGGGAAAGGAATCAAAGCTCCATGGAGAGAGAAACATCAGTCAGTTGATACTTTGATCGTCCAACAACTCATGTATAATATAAATGTTCATGATATTAGTATTTATTATTTTCAATAGTATTTGTTTCTCGTTGAGCAATCAACATATTGGACAAAATAAACTACTCTTCATTGTATAGGTCATTAATTAAGGCTACCACAAAGGAGAAAAATTCCGACTTGGGTCTCGAAAGTTCTCACACTTTGTCTTCCTCTCTCTCTCTCTCTCTCTCTAAACTAAAGGTTTAAAAGTGCATTACCTTTAAGACAATCGAAATTTTCTTTCAATATTCATTCAGTTTTTCGGTGGCCATTGCTCGGTTGCTGGGGGAAGGCTAATACCACAATAGAGTTTGAAGATGGGGCATCACTTTTTCTTTATGTAGCTACTAAGTCGGCTTGTGTGACCAAAACAATCCACTCTCTATTCGTTTCTCTGACAACTTTTTCAATACAAGTTTTTAGTTTAATTACCCAAAAAATGTATACAAATAAGTTAGATGGCGCCTACTATGGTTCTGGGGCTACCTATTTCCATGTCAATTTTAGATTAATGATCAATAGCAATTAGATGTGAAAACAAGAAGAAAAGCATCCTATGTATAAATTACTCCTACGCCAAACTTTATCTTCTGGCTAAAGAATTCATGAATCGATCAGTGAAGTAATACTAGTAATAATTTAGAATTGACTTGAGTATGTTTGATCTGCATGGAATAAACAAACTTAGGTCTAACTACTAACCCGCAATTCTACCATTCCCTGACAGAACCTACACCAATTAGCTTTAGCAGCTATTCATGATGATGAGCTTTGGTCTTTAACTAGATATTACTAGCTCTAACACTCGAGCTACAGGTTGCGTAAAAGTTTTTGCTTCATGGAAAGGGAAAGGAAAAACGAATTGAGTTCATGGGTGACACCACCACCAAATCTGAAAAATCAAAAGCACCTAACATTTGTTTTAGTTTTAGGTGTCAGAGAATACAACAAAATTTTCCCAGATCTTGATATCCTTATTAGCTCTTTCTCAAGCTAAATTATTGTTTGTTTCTTGACATTTCACCAACCAAGCATGCTAATTTTTATGTAATATCACAAATGACAGTGTAGTGCAATTATTAAATTACAATTCCAACTGGACAAGCTTATCCCTCCAAATGTAGGGTAGTCGGCCAGCCAATTAAGAGTAGCTATCTCTCTTTGAACGAAAGTCAACAAAATTAATGTTGCTTGGAAATTTCACAATGGCCCCCCCTGAAAAGAGGACCTAATTTTTCTCTCTTTCATTTTTACGAAACCCATTGTCTCTTTCCATGGAAAATTTGTGTTCATAGTGAAGAAGGTGTGAAACCAAAATAAACCCCCACTAAAATTAAGATAAAAAAATACATTTAAATATTTAATTTATTAATTAATATGTGATTTATTTATTTAAAAGAATATAAATTTAAATTTTAAAAAAAAATTAAAAATCAAAGAAAAGACCTCCCCTTAGATCAAGAAATAAAAGGCATGGAAACCCACTTCCTACAGAGCACGTTAGGATTACAATTGTTGAAAATGTAACCAGGGCCCAACCAACACCAGAAAACTAGGCAAGTGCTTTCCCAGGCGGAATTTTCAATGCATGAAATCATGATATCTTAACTACCTTCAATATCCAACCTATAAAACATTATTTTACCCATATGTTTCTGATTTTGTTTCCCATGGCATTTTATTCCCATCTGACAATGTATGACATTTGCATGTGGCACAAAAGGCATCTAAAATATCTTTCAAGTTTTCTTGATGAAAGGTTTGAAAGGGTTGTTAATTAAATAGCGAAAGCTCTAAAAAAAATTAAGTAAAAGAATGTTTAGAATCAAATGAGAAAAATATAGAATTTATATTTAATTAAATTTTAAAGGAACCAAGTTGGTACGTTTTGGTCTGTCTAATTAATCATATTATTTAAGAAGGTTATTAGACCTTATTCACATATAATACTATTGGTCTAGTTTTAGCCTGATTCTAATGATTAAAACTATCATTTTAAACTATATAGCACGCCTTTTAAGCTCTATTATAATAATTTTTGTCTAAATAGACACGATTTCATGATTAACAGAAAACTTGAAGATCTATAGAAGCTTGGCATTGAGCTGGGCTTTCTTTGATAAGTAATAGAATTGAAGGGATTCTTATCAAGAACATATATCAATCGATTGCAATTGTATTTGATTCAAGTGGACTCGAGAATGAGCTTTAAAAGATTTGAAATCTTAGAGTTTGTTTGGTTTAATTTTTTTTAGTTTAAAAATTATTATGTAACTTTTATGAAAATAATAATTTTTAAAATTAAGTTAAAGCCATTTTGTAATTAATTTGAAAAAATAAATTATATAAATTCTATTTTTTGTTAAAATTACCATAAATGATATTTATATCATCTTTAATAACTTAATAAATCAAAATGGAATAAGTTTGTTTTAAGCTTATATATGATTTCAGATGTTAAAATTAAAAAAATCAATGTAAAAACGAAACAATTCTCAAACTTTGTATAGTAGTAATAATATTATATTTTTGTTGATTTAGCAAGCAATCGGACTATATACTTCAATTCTCAAAAGAGATGAAAAAAGAGAAAATGATGTATTTGACATTAAAATCTTTTATGGTAAATAAGAGAGAAAACATTTAAATAATACCTGAATGCAACTTTAAATTTTAAATTTTTTTTCTTAATCTTTGTAAGAACAAAAAATCTCAAATTTTGTTATTCTATTGTTGAGTTTTTTTGTTTTTTTTTTCCTAATAGTCTTTGTACAGATAGCATAAAGAAGAATGAGATTGTGATTTGTGTTGGAAAAGGAGGAAAAAAGAGAAAATGGAAATCAATTGAGAGAGAAGTGTACTTTTTGAAAAGTTGGTATATTTTTAAAAGGAAAAAAAGAGAAAGCTCATATTTGAAGTCTTTTTTAAGCTACTTTTTTAAAAACTTTTGTTCTTTAAAAAAAGATTTCTTTTTTTTTAAGAGTTTATGAAAATCTTATTTGAGATTTTTTTTGTTTTAAAAGGTCGATAAATTGAAAAGAAAAATTAAGTCAAACAGACATTTAAATTGATAAAGTGCAAGATTGAAATTAGTTTTAAAATATAGAAAAAAAATGGAAGAACAAGAATGAGCATAAAAGTCCAGAGGAATAGAAAATTGAGTGGTAGAAGCCAAGGATATCCTCTAGTACATGTTGCGGGTTCAACGTGCCTTGGTCTATAGCGCTAGTGGACCCCAAAAGTCAGCTTTTGGGCACTAAGATTTAAGCTGATTCCCATCCCTTACGTTGTTGTTTGTTCAAAGTCCCTACCACAAATCTTCTTTGAATCCATAAAATTAAAAGTCCTAATTCTCCTTTGATTTCTGTATATTCTTCGTTTTCTTTTTCATCTCTCTTTCCCACTGCCACTTTCATATGGTCACTTCAGAGCGTGCAGCACACGTCCTATTAGACCCTTTTTGAAGAAAATTGCTTTGCCCCCTCTAGCAATTCATGGCTCTGAAAGAGACAAAATTGAAAAAGTGAGAAAGGAGCTCTTGATTGATAGTTAGGGAATTCTCGTGGCAGAAAACTCCAAACTA